GCTCTGATCTTTATAATTTCCTCCCTTTTACTAGCTCAGAATTTGGATTGTTCTTCTTGTTCGATAAGTTCATGGTGTTTTCCTAATGTAGACATTCACATCTGTAAACTTCTCTCTTAGGATTGCTTCATCATGTCCTATACATTCTGGTATGTTGTGTTGGCATTACCATTTAATTCTAGATACTGTCTTATTTCTTCCTTAATTTCTTCTGGTACCCGTTGCTTATTAAAGAGTATGTTGTTTAATTCCCTTAATTTCGTTTGCCATTAATTTCTAATCTCATTGCACTGTGATCTGATAATATGCATGGTAAAATTTCAGTACTTTTGCATTTTCTTGGGCTATGATTTTTTTGGGGTATGATTTTTTTGGGCTAGTATGTGATGTATTTTATGGATGGTCCTGTCTGCTGCTGAAAGAAGAATGTGCATTCTTTCATTATTGCATGGAACACTGTGTATGTATCTGTTAAGTCCATTTGTTCAAAGGTTTGGTTTAACTGTGATTATTTCTCTTTTAATTTTTTTGTCTCATTGATCTATTTGTGATAGTGGGCTGTTGAGGGCTCTCAATATAATTGTGTTGGTGTTTATGTGGTATAGTGTTTGTTTTATGAAGCTGAGTATAACATTTTTTGGTGTATATACATTTACAATTGTATCTTCCTGCTGAATTCCTGTCTGTTGAATTCTTGTTATTCCTTAACTAGTATGTAATATCCTTCTTTGCCTCTTCTGAACAATTTTAGCTTGACTGAAAATATGGTAGCTACATTCTCTTGTTTTTGGATACTTGCTAGAATATTTGACTTTTAGTCTATGAAATTTGGGGGGTAGTTAAATGTGTTTCTTGTGTTGAGTACAACCATTGGATTTTTTCTTGATCCATTCTGCCAATCTGTGTCTTTTGATTAGTGAATTGAGACTATTCATGTTGTTAGTTATCATTGATAAGTATTTACTTATTCCTATTATTGTATTACTTTCCTGCCTCATTCCTTTTCTTTTTCTTTTACTTATATACTCACCCCACCTGGTATATTCAATTAGACCTTTGGCGTTGTTAACTTCATAGTCTTGTACTTATATTAGGATATCATGGAGAAATTTTTGGAGTGCTCATTCGGTTGTCAAGAAATTTTTTAATATATTCTTTACCATGGAAATTTCTTACTTCTCCATCAGTTTTAAAAGATAATTTTTCAGGATATACCTGTGTTGGTTGGAAGTTGTTTTCCTCTGTGGGCTTGAGACACCATACCAAGCTCTCCTCACCTTTAAGGCTATGTTGGATAATCTGCTGTAGTTGTAATGGTTTTCCTTCATAAGTGATTTGTTATTTTCCTGTAACAGCTTTTAAGATTCTTTTCTTGTGTTGAATTTATGTTATTTTGACTGTGATGTGTTGTGGACTGGTTCTTTTTTGCTCATGGCTATTTGGGGTTCTGTATGCATCATTTGTCTGCACCTCTTGATTTCTTTTTCCCATTTGAACAAGTTTTGTGGTGTTGGTTTTGTAAGCAGGATTTTTATTACCTATATGCTGTCTTTGGATTTTCACTAATTTGAGTTAATCTCAGATCAGTCTTTGTATCATCTAGCAGCTGTTGAACATTTTTAAATGTTCTTTCATTAATTGATTATCAACCATAGCCCCTGTCTTGTAGATATGATACTCTGTCCTCACATTGGTCAGTTGTGCTGTTCATTCTTTCTATAAACTTTTTAATCTTTTGGATTTCTGCTTTGTATTTATTCTAGACTCTAATTCTTTTCTGTGCTGGGCATTCATATTTTGCAGCTCTTTCTTTAGCTTTGCTAGCTTTTTATTTGTGTCTTCTGTAGGCTTGCTGGTTGTTTCATTAGGATCATTATCTGTTTAGTTAGGTCTTCTTTCAGTTCACCAAGTATCTTATTCATCTGTTTTGTTACCTCCACTGTTATCCTTTCAGATAAGTAGGTGCATGGCTTTTGCTATCTTCCCCTTTGATGCTGTCTGGATTGGCTTTAGGGGCATAGGACATTTTGGGAGACATTTTGTTGCTTGTTCATTTTTTTTTTCTTTCCATGTAGTGGGGCATATGATTTGATTCAAGTGCGTAGCTTTTGTTTCTAGTATGGAGATCTCTTTTATTAATGTCTACTTTTCAGAGATGTGCTATGGGAGTGCCTTAGCTATTGGCCTTTGCCTCTGTCTGAGGATCTAATCACCTCTGTTTGTTTGGGAGGGGCTATTGTAGCTTATTTGGCTCAGTACCCTGTTCTTCAGTAATAGGCTTCAGTATTGTTTATGACCTATAGGCAGCCCAGGTATTGGCATACAATGAAATTCAATTGATAGCAACAAATATATCACCTTGGTTGCAGTAATAAAATCAGTAATAACTATAGCATTGAACACAAACTCTATACTGACAGATCCTAAGAACAAACAATGCATCACTTTTTCCATAAAAAAAGATCTAGATTATAATAAAACACTAAGACAAACCAGATGTTGACCTATAGTAAATGTCTAACAGAATGGATCAACTTTACCTCCATTATCAATAGAATAGTGTTCCAAGCAATATGACATAGTTAACTTACTATGTTTAGATTCATGAAGCTTAATGGTTATACCTTTGGGGGTAGAGCATGTGGAAAGTGGGAGCACAAAAAAGTAAAGATGGAAAAAGTAAGCAGTGCAAGAGGAGAATCTGATAAAAGTGAAACGACGGCTCCTCTTAAAAAGTAAAAGGAAGTTAATGACATTAGATATAAGTGATAGAAGAAAACCAGCCAGGAAAAGGAATACTAAGAAAAAATAGAGGGTAAACTAAGCAAGTGAATAAGGGAAAAAATTAAAAGAGAGAGTGGAAGAAGAAAAGAAGAGAGAAAAGAGGGCCAAAACAAAGATAATAATAAAAAAGGAAAAAGAAAATAGGAAAAAAAATCTCTCCAAACACCCCCCACACACAAATTTCATAAAGGAAAAAAAAAATATTTTCTATGTATTTCCAAATGAGTAGTTTCCTTTTATAACCAGTAGTATTTGCAATTCAACAAGTCACAGTCCTCTGTACCTCACCTTATAACCTGTGAGTTTGTGAGGTGACCTTGCTGCTCAAGAAGTCGCCTGGTGTGTAAATCCCAGTCCAGGACAGCTATCTAAGCCAAGTCACATCCCTGCTCCCATGATACATGGAGAAACAATCAGACCATGGCCTGTACTGGTGGAGGGCTCTGGGTGGGGCTCAGAGTTTTCAGATCCAGTCACTTCTGAAAACCACACTTGCTGAACCTGGCCTCCTACCACAGAATGTAGGTCCAGTATCCTTCCTTGCTGAGATGTCTGTCTAAACCTCATCCTTTCTGCCTGTGTTGTCCATGGCTTTCTCTGCCCCAGCTACTGTGGTAACACTTCAGTCCTGGAGTGAAACTGTAGTATAGGTGTTTTGTGGCTCAGGTCCACAAGATCAGCCCCTTCCCACGATGGTGCCTAATAAACTCTCTCTGGCAATATGACAGTGAATTTTTTTCTCCAGCTCTGTCCTGCCATGAAGAAGACACTCTTGGGGTAAAACCCCACACTGTTTTTGAAATTTATACTGACCACAGGCATTTCTTGTTTGTAGCACTGCTGGCTCATCCACTACTTTTTTTTTTTAAAGCAGGCTCCTTTAGGACACTGACCTTGGCCTCAGTCAGCTGGGTCATTTGGTGGTGATCTCTGCTGCCTGTACTGAGAGGAACCAAAGGGCAAAGCCAGCTAGGAGTTGACAGATTGACATTTGCTCCTTTGTGGTGCCAATTATTTGTTGATTAAAGCCTAACTTTGAGGTTGGACTTACTCTTCTTTAGTGTTTCTATTTGTGAAGCTATCTCACTGCCATTGCCATAGGTACCATACTTGATTTTCAACATGATACATCTTTGTTCTTTTGCATCTTCTTGATTTACAAATGTTATTAATTGCTTTGAAGATAAATTCTGAAAAACTTTTGCATGTTCACTTTACATTCGTGCCTTTGTTATTTTAAATGCATTTTTTGAATCTTGATCATGTTTCAGAGGTATGGAGCAGTGCTTATATGTAGAAGATTCTGTCAATGCTACTGTAATAGCTTGTTCACTGCTACTACGTGATTGTATCAATATATAATTGATATAGTTGTATCAATATATTTTAAGGTTATCTTTTTTTCAAAGTAATATATTGATAACAATATTGGCTATATATTTTGACTATTAAATTTGATTTGTAAAATAAACAGTAACATTTAAAAATAAATTTATTTTTAAGCATATATAAAATTATACTTTTTAAATAAAAGTGTACATATTAATGGAGAATCATGTGATGTTTTGGTACATTTTTATATTGTATGTAGTTAGATTAAACAGATCTGTCTCCTCAGAATTATCATTTTGTATGATAAAATGTTTTCTTTTGGCTTTTTGAAATAATACATTTTATTCCAGTCACCCTATGGTACAGTAGCACACTGAAACTATTACTCTTACATAACTACCCATTTATTAATATTTCTCCATCCTTTCATCATCCCACAATAGGTTTTTTACAGAATTTTTTCAGAAGAAAGTCTTTTTTGTTTTGTTTTGTTTTTGAGACAGAGTCTCACTACATAGCTTAGGCTGGCCTTGACTCACTCTGTGGCTCAATCTAGCCTCGAACTCATAGCAGTCCCCTTGCCTCACCTCCCAAGTACTCAGTATGGTTGTGCTTCTCCATACCTAGGAAGAAGATAACTTTTAATGAGTATTCCTGAGCCACTGAACAGTTTATGTCATCTAACAAGAGATGGTACAAAATACTTGAGAATCTATAAAATATCAGAAATCTGGTAATAACACATACAAATCCAGTTAAATTAAAGAATTTATTTAATCTTTGTATTTCTGCTTCAATGTAAATCAATTTCTTTATATTGATATGAAAATGATTGAAATATTCTAATTTTAGCAACTAACTTGATCTTGCATTTTGGTTTGCAGGTGGATTGGACCCTAAATATTGGAGAACAGGCCCTTGATATATGTATTGTGTCTTTTAATCAGTCAACATCTTCTGTTTTTGTTCTTGGTGAAAGAAATTTTTTTTGTCTGAAGGATAATGGACAAATTCGATTCATGAAGAAGCTTGATTGTAGCCCAAGTTGTTTTCTTCCATATTGCTCAGGTATGTAGGAAGATTCTATTTTTTCCATATGTCTTTGGCTCTATTGTATATATCATAAAATGCCACAGTTGTACACATATTTTAACTATCTAGGAAAATAGTTTTATGCTGGACATGTAATGGGGATTTTAACTTTCAGCATTTGAAGAGATTTAATATAAAGCACATGTTTAGTTTTGTCAGTCATTTTATTTTAATGACTTATGGAGTTGGCTTCCGGGATACTTTATTGCTTTCCATGTCACTGTTGAAGCGGGTTCTAGGAGACCAGCTCTTCTAAAGAGAGCAGTAATATCCAAATAGAATGACTCATCCATAGCAAATGTGCAATCATTAGCTTAAATGTGTCAACAAGTTAGTGCAATTCATACTCCTTAGGTGAAATGCAAACAAGTTGGCCATTATTTATAAATGAGTTCTTCCTGATTATTAGTAGCTCAAAATTGAAAATTAATTTAGTACTTAAATCTTTTGTGCATTAAAATCAAGATAATTAGAGTTAGTGTGTGTTTCAAGTCCCCTAAAATAGGTATAATCTCCTATTTCAAATGACCATTTTCTTCTTGTATCTTCATCTTGCAGTTTCTGAGGGAACAATAAATACTTTGATTGGAAACCATAACAGCATGTTGCACATTTATCAGGATGTGACACTGAAGTGGGCCACTCAGCTCCCCCACATTCCTGTGGCAGTGAAAGTGGGTTCTTTGCAGTAAGTGATACTATTTAACATGACTTCATGAAAGGACCTTAGTTGGTGTTCCCTAGAAGTTTTGAGAAATAATGGCAAATGATCTTACTAAAAAATGTTGAGTGATGTCGAAGTACAATATCAGTAATAGAAATAACTTAAAGTTTGAACTATTGAAGAAGGATCTATGATTAATTAGGGCTACTAGTCATTACTATGTAGCATTGCTATCAGATATCCACTGTAAATTAAAGATGAAAACTGTAAGAAACTGACAAGAAAATGGTGTTTGATATATTGTTTTCTTTAAAGTAGGAAAAACTTTCTTTCAGCATTTGGTGGGTCTCACTCAGAGATCAGTTACTGATAGAGCATAAAAATATAGTTTATAAGGTTTGTACTTGTTTTCAGACCTTATTATGTCAACTGATATCTGATTGCTAATTATCTTATATTTAAGCAATTTAGATGTTAAAGAGGACCATTTTGCATTTAAAATGAAAAACATCCATATCTTAACATGTTTCTAAAATTTATCAAAATTGAGAGAAATGAGACATAATTTCTCAGTAAGTAATTATTCAAAGTCATTAGTACAAAAGGCAAGATCCTGATAAATTCTTCAGGAACTCAGATTATGTTTAGGAGTTTAGAATTTCAGCCAATGTATAGAAATACATTTTTTTCCAAAGCTTCATAGATTCCTAGATCTGTTCAGTTCTGTTTGTTTAGACTTGTATAGTACATTTCAGAGCCATATGTAGAATTCTTCAATAAAATATCTGATCAGGATGAGTTATCTCTTCAAATAATGATGGAATATGTAATATTGATGAAATTTGTTAAGGGGTATTCATATTTGCATTACTGGTTATTCTAATGGCCTATGTCTTGGCAAAACGGAAACTATGTTTAGGAAACCTGAATTGTTTTTTAAAAAATTGTTTTCTTACATTGTATAAGAAAAAAACATCAAATAACTGTTATACACTTAACAGGAGTAATAGTTACTTTGTATCTGAAGAATAATTTAAATCTTGAAATTGGCTTTTGCAGTGTCCACCAGATGTCTTTTTAAGTTCAACCAGACTTAGCACACATTTTGCATCAGATTTACTTGGAAGGATTTAGAACAGGAAAAACATCTTGCCAGCAGGGCCACGTAAGGTAGTCAGCTATTTCTTTCTGGTTGAGTAATTCTTCTAGCAGTCCATATATCCATCTAAGAGCTGTTGCCTTTGGTTGCACCAGCAACAGTATAGGTGCAAGAAGACAGATCCGCACTGGTGGGTACGAGGCCCAGCTTGGCTGCTAGTCTCCGTGCTGCACAAAGCCAGGCTCTTTCAGGACTGAAAAAGCCATTGTGGTTTTTGTGTATAGTTTGGCGTGGAAGTGATGAGAGCATTTAGGTGAAATAATTTATATGTTCATCATGTTCAAGACTTTCAATAGTCACCTTACCCAGAGAAGTGCAAAGATAGAGCTTCTCAGCAGATATTTGTTGTTAATTTATAATTTCTGGTCCACATGCAACTTACAAATTAAGAGTCCAATAGCAGAAATTATAATGACTAAAAATTAAATTTCCATACAGTGTGCATTATGCTGCTTGTGTGCAAAAGTAGTATGTAACACTGTATTTTGGATACCTGTAGTTGTGTAGAAAGCTTTCTGTTTCTCATAGGTTTTTCAAGATTACAGTTATAAACTACTAAATGCTGATACTGCCACTAACATTTTTCATAATTAGTATATAATAATAAATTTAATTATTCAATTGAAGAATTTTCTATTGTATACTTTAAAAGGTCAGACTCAAATAATTTCATTGTAATTTTATTTGAAGTTTTAAAGTAATATTGCTAACAAGTACAACATTTAAATTTAGAAGTTAGTATTTGAAATAGTAAGCACTGAACAACTTTCCTCCTGCTTTTTATTATCATTAGGATTAAAGTTTTCTGGTAGAAGCTTTCTTGACTGACTATGTATTTATAAAGGAAGGGGCTAATTTTTTTTCACTGAATAAGAAATACTGGATTTGAATCAAGTTGATGCAGTTATGCAATGATGAGCAGCAGCAGTATTCTCAGAAACTAAGATACTTTTTTCCCTCCCATTCTGCCTCGTGGGCAGTGCTGGACCTCTCTACCCTGTTTGTAAGGGTAGAGCTCTAACTCTTTATTTCCTTTTCTTTTTTTCCCAATAAGGCTCATTCCTGGGTAGTGTCTTGTGGTTTAATTATTTTTTCTGGATTAAACTACAAGAATATAAGATGCATATTCAGGTTACAGAATTAGGAGAGCCAGGTGTGATAATGATCTCTAAGTTCTATGCTTTTACTATTTTCTCCTCCTTGCATGAAGTAGCTGTGGGAGAACATCTTATACCCCTACTGTGGACGCTTTATCAAATGGCAAATAAAGCCTATCGTTTGTCAGAAACATTATTCTCTGTAGAAACATCAAATATACCTAAAAGAGGAAGTTGGCTTGGATGCAGATTCAGAGTGCTGGAAACCTTTGTGAACACGAGCTGGCAGCTCATCAGCACAGTGCTGTAAAATCCTATTGCAGCTTACATTTTTTTTAGCATAAACAGTTTGGCCTAGTACTTCATTGTCAGACTGTGCCCACAATAATCACTCATTCTAACTTTGATGTGTAACATTTTCTTATATGTTAGATTTCATTTATGCTCTTTGACCAGAGTATTTTTTTCAATTTCTTCTATGGGTTTTCAAATTTTCTTCTATGTTTGAATCCCAGTTCAAGTTCTATAAGTGTTCCTTCCGTACCATGTTCTCACTCTCTGAATTTCTAACACATTTACTGTTGTACAGGAGACATTGTTTTATTTTCCTATCTCCCCACTAGATCATACACTTCTTTCCTACATTTGCATGTCATACTGAATAATGAAGCAGAAAGCTAAACACATGCTATACACCCAGTAAAGTCATTTGTTTTGTGTTGATATATTAGCAGAAAGATGGCTAACAGAACTTGTAGTTTAAAACCCTATTTGAAGTATGAAAGAGGGAGAATCACAGAGGTATTTCTTTAAACTCAAAATTTTTAGGAGAGTATTTGAAATTTTTAAATTGGCTCTTTCTTTCATTGTGGTAAAGTTGAACAATATTTAGGTGAGGTAGGATAAAATGCATTCTTTCAGTTATAGGTTGGGGCCAGATGTGTGCATGGTTTTCTGGTGCATGTATAAGCTGTTTCTGAACCAGAATGGGGGAGGGATGAGGCTAGGGAGGAAGAAGGACACTTTTCCTTATCTGTAGTCAGGTGACCTCTGTGAACTGAAGCTGGCATGCAGCATGAGGTGCAGTTGGACTTCAGGCTTTATCTACTTGATAAGTAGTCTGAATTTCTGAGATTTAGAGTTTATGATGTTTATATTTCTTTTTTCCTCACATTGTTACTCTTCTACTTTTTGGTGATTTCTGTGCCTGTGTCCTTGTTTTTTTTTTTTTTTTTTTTTTTAAGATAGGTTCTTGCTGTGTAATTCAGGCTGGTCTTGAACTTGTGATCTTCTGTGTCAGTCTCCCAAGTGCTGAGATTGCAAGTGTGTGCCAGGATGCCTGGCTGTGCCTGTGTTTTTGTCTCTTCTGTTTTGGCATGGCTGTTTTCATTAGCCATTGGAGAGTGTACCCCGAAGGTTGTTGACATACGGAACTAAACATTTCAGAAGCACTTTAGGATCATAGAATTAAATTTCAGGGAAAATTCTAGTTGTGAATTGGACTGGGAATAAGACTAGAGTTAGGCATTCTTTGGAGAAATTGCCCCCCCCCCCAGTTCTAACTAATTTTTAATTTCTAAAAATAATTTCTGTTCGAGCTACAGATCAAGTGGTTGTAGTTTATAGTACTTGATTTTTCATGGCAGTTATTTCCAGGTCCAGTAGTCAAAGTCACTGTCTTCCCTGTTCAGTCACTGCTTGGTCTCTTTGCACCATCTTCATTCTGGCCAAATTCTTATTCTGTGAAAGAATTTAAATGCTTCCTCAAAATTTGACATAGAAAGTTTTGACATTAATGTGATTGTTTTCCTTTCTCTCTTCTACCCCACTGTTATGTAGTGTTAGTATTCTTTTGGTGATTTTCTAGAAATTGTGTTTATAGTTACAATTGACACTTTTGGCATTATAACCAAATTATACTTATTACCTCGTTTTGCTGTTAATGTTACTGAATTTTACTGTTTTCACTCTTACATTTTTTTTCCCTAAGAGATACAGCTTTTCCCATCACTTTTTGCTTATTTGTTTTCTTGCTGTTTTGTTTTTGATTTGTTTGGAAAGTAAATATCTTTTTCTGTAGTAGTGATGATAAATCAGCTTTAAAGAAATACACTATGTGGAATAAAATTATAATTGAGGCTTCTAACCAGGAATATTAGGAAGGGAGAATGATAGGGAGAATCCCTGGCTTTTATGGTACCCTACTAGGAAAGAGGGCCTAAAGTCTGGGGTCCAGTGTCTTGGCAATCCAACATAGCAGACCACAGTGGAACACAAAGAGTTGTGGGATAAAAGAATACAATTATATTTAAGATTTTTTTTTCCTTCATCTTATTGGGATTTTAGTAACCCCAATTTGGACAAATTGTTTGGACAAATTGTTTTGTCAGTCTTACTGAAGAATTTTCCATAAAATTAGTTCCTTTTTTGTTTGTTTATTTGTTTGGTTTGTTTTTGCAGTACTAGGAACTGAACCCAGGGTGTTGTACATGCTAGGTAAGCACTCTATCACTGAGCTACATTTATAGCCCTTTTACAAATTTTACTTTTCAACAGAGTAAGTTGCTTAGGCTGTTCTCTATCTTGTAACCCTCCTGCCTCGACCTCCCAGAGTTGCATTAATTTTGATGGCCATTGTTACTTGTATGCATATATTTCCATTGTGTGAGATCAAATATCTTTAATAAGCTAACCTCTAGATTTTGTTTAACTAAAATAGAAAAACACAAGAATAGTACTGTAACATTCCTACAGTTCTGTATGTCAGC